TGTAATTCATTTTTCTAGTAACAAAATTTCCTTTGTGTTTTCTGTAAAATGGCTTACGGATTCATTTTCCGTAAGTCATTTTCCGAACTTTTCACTTCAAATATTTTAATATCATTTTCATCAAAATATTAATTATTAAAATATTTAAAATATATTTATTAATATTTAAAATAATATAATATTAAATTTTTAATATTATATAAAATAATCAATTATATTATAATAATATAAGATATTATATTTTTATTTTAATAATATATAATAATTCTTTTTTATATTTAATAATGAATAATATTATTTATATATTTCAATAATATTTTAGTAAAGATATTTAAAATATACTAATATTTTTAAAATATAATATAGCACTATTACTTTAATAAATAATTAATATAATTTATAATATTTTATTTCACTAAAATATACCAATACTAATATTTTTATTAATAAAATTTTAAAAATAATATTTAATAATAAATAAATTATTTTAATATTTTAAAATAATAATATTAAGTTTTATGATAAATAATATTATTTATTATATTTAATATTTGTAATAAATAATTTTTAAAAAAACTCTTCAACTAGTAGAAAAAATGTTTAAATAACATCTTCCAAACATCATAAAACGTTTTCCAGAAATGTAATTCATTTCCCAGAAATGTAATTCATTTTCCAGAATTCAAATTTTAGTAATTCATTTTCCAGAAATTCAAATTTCAGTAATTCATTTTCTGAAAAATCAATTACAGCTAAACAAACAGACCCTTAAGTTCAACAAGATCATTAAAAGCTTAGGTTTCGTAATAATCTATAGAAAGGTCCATTCAAGGTGAAAATAATAATTACCATAATTTCAGTAATTAAACAAGATTAGCATCATTCATTTATTTAAGTTTATTGCTGACAACAGGCTATATATATTTCATTTAAGGTGTGTTTGTTTGCCATAATTGGAATTACGGAATTGGTTTTTCCTGAATTCTCGTGTTTGTTTTACGTAATTTGTTTTTCGAAAAATGTTTTCTCGTGTTTGTTTCACGTAATTCGTTTTCCGAAAAATGTCTTCCTATGTTTGTTTCACGTAATTGGTTTTCCGGAATTTAATTCATTTTCCTAATAACAAAATTTCCTTTGTGTTTTCTGTAAAATGACTTACAGATTCATTTTCCGTAAGTCATTTTCTAAACTTTTCACTTCAAAAAAAAAATATTCAAAATAATTTTATTTTATGAATTTAATATTAATAAAATATTTTAATATCATTTTCATCAAAATATTATTTATTAATTAATATTTATAATAATATAATATTATAATTTTAATATTATATAAAATAATCAATTATATTATAATAATACAAGATATTATATTTTTATTTTAATAATATATAATAAAATTTTTTATATATTTAATAATGAATAATATTATTTATATATTTAAATAATATTTTAATAAAGATATTTAAAATATACTAATTAATATTTTTAAAATATAATATAACACTATTACTTTAATAAATAATTAATATATTTTATAATATTTTATTTCGCAAAAAATATGCAAAAATTATTATTTTTATTAATAAAATTATAAAAAATAATATTTAATAATAAATAAATTATTTTAATATTTTAAAATAATAATATTAAGTTTTATGATAAATAATATTATTTATTATATTTAATATTTGTAATAAATAATTTTTAAAATACTCTTCAACTAGTGGTAAAAAGGTTTAAATAACATCTTCCGAACATCATAAAACGTTTTTCAGATGTTTTTTAGAAAAATGTAATTCATTTTACGGAAAACATTTTTCGGAAAACGTTTTCCAGAAATATAATTTATTTTCCAGAATTCAAATTCCAGTAATTCATCCAATTCCAGTAATTCAAATTCCAATAATTTATTTTTTATAAAATTAATTACACCCAAACAAACAGAGTCTCATTTAAAACGAGGAATTGCTGTTATGATAGCGATAGGAGATTGATGTGGATACAAAAAGGTTAATTAATCTATATTTTCAGAAATTAATTAATAGCTGTTTGGACGCCAAACTAGTACAGCGCAAATAAGAAAAATTTTGCTGACACAACTCAACAGTACAGAAGGTGCCCAGTTGCTTCTATTAAGGGTGTAACTGTGTGTGTATAGTACCAAACAATGAAGTTCATTAATCAATCAATGCTTCCAAAATTAGTTCACAGATTATTGTGATTTCAAGTATATGATTTGTACGACTCAATGGGTTGATTTTTTTATTTTTATTTTTTGCTTCAACTGGTGATACCAATGCTTTGTGTTTTTCAACTATATACTATATTGCAATAACCATGTACGCATTTCCTTTTTATTAATTTACATAATAAATCTAGAATCCGAATTCTCGAACGGAGTATAAGATTATTTTAAATGAAAATATTACATCATCACTTTAACAATAATAATCTATTATCAATTTGAATTTATTAATAATATTATAAAGTTAAAGAAACAAATTAAGGTCAAACTAAAATAAAGTATATATTTTTTTCTTTTGAATAGTTAGAGTGATTATAAGGTAGTATATATTTAAAAATCTCTTACTCGATTGACAATGCATGCACATCCTACAGACACAACTGCTCGAACTCAGAGCCTCTAAGAAAAATAACATTCTCTTTTACTGAAGACATTTTGATGAGTTCAAAATATCTAAATCGTAAGTAAGAGCAAGAATAATTATATTCTAAAAAATAATACAATGACGTTAACTGTGAAAAATAAAGAATATAAACTAATATATATCCCCAAATCATGCTATATTTGTTGTCTAAATTGAAAATAAATGGTGAAATATTAAAGGGGGACAAAAAAAGTAAAAGGAAATAGTTAATACGATATGTGACTTATGAGTATATATGATCAAAGATTTAAACGGTGGTTAATTATTAAAATTATGATTATTATATAATGATAATGATGTTATTCGAAATTGTTATTGTATGATAAACAACACACTTTATATATGTATTTATTTAAATACGAGAGCTTTAAAATGAATAACACTCTCTTTTATTATTTAAGTTGATCAATAAATTCATTTTTGACAATGATAAATTCAGAAAATAATAATAATGATGTCTACAGTCCCACCAAACACTAATTAAAATGATGAACAATGCCCCCATGGCAAAGCTGTGGAATGGATTCTCTTGGTTGGAAATGGAGCGTTGATCGGAATTTCTCTGTTAAATCAGCTTATGAGTTCCGGCGGGGAATTTTAAATGATGTTACGCATAAAGTGTGGGAGGTGATTTCAAAGTATCGTGGACTATAACGGATCAAAAAATTTTATGGTTGCTAGCGAATGATCAGCTTCTTACTAATACAGAGCGAGTACGACGACATATGGCCACAACTAGCAATTGTGGAATTTGTGGACAGACGGACGAATCATCATACCATCTTTTTCGCCAATATCACATGGCTATGGCTATTTGGTCAACATTAGTTAAAGCTGAAAAGCTAGAGGATTTTTGTACAAGGGATATCAGAAGTTGGATGCAAATCAATATCGCTTCCCCGGGGTTTTATGCACGTGAGGAGAATGATTGGGACTTACGGTTTGGTTCAATTCTTTGGTTAATCTGGAAGAATCGGAATGGAAGAATTTTTGATCCAGATTATTTTGAGCATGAGTCCGTATTAGAGAAGAGCAGGCGCCTCACTCTTGAAGCGAACCGTGCAATGGAATCATCTTTATCAATGATTCAGCTTTCTCACCGTTCATGTACTATGCCGGATGCTTGGCAACCGCCTCCTCACAATTAGTGTAAGATTAATACCGATGGGTCCCGTGACATAGGAAGCGGATTTGCGTCATGTGGAGGTGTTATTCGATCTTCAAATTGTGGTTGGATGTTAGGATTTTCAAAAGCGATTGGAATATGTTCCATAGTTGAAGCGGAGTTATGGGGTATCCATGAAGGTCTTTCTCATGCTTGGAATCTAGGAGAGCGGCTAATCACGGTGGAGACGGATAGTTTGGAGGATGTTCGGATGTTAAAGAAGAACACTAAGAGAGGATCGATTTTCACTCTTATTGACTGCGTGAATGAGTTGATTAACAGAGATTGGAACGTTGTTTTAAAGCACATAAGCTGGAATGCTAACAAGGTGGCAGATAGACTGGCGAAGATTGTCGCGACTAGAGGAGAAGCTCGTATTGTTTTTTCTACCCCACCATTGGAAGTCATAGATATTGTCCAACGGGAATATGAAGATTACACATTGACAGCATGAGCTTAATCCTCTGTTTTTTTACCCTTTTGTTCACAAAAAAAAAATGATGAACAAACATAGATTCAATTAGTGGTTTTTTAATGACCAATATATTATGTTAAACGTTTCTATTTGTTATTTATTTATTCTCACCTCCATAATTGTTAATATTTTAAATATATAAAAAAATCTACATTTCTATTATTTTTACTTTTTATTTCATTATATATCCAATATCATAGTTACAATAATTAATTTGAACGTCACCTATTCAGACAATTGATAGTTTAATTCTCCCATTTATGGAGTTCAATGTATCAAAAGCAATAATTTTTCATTAAAGATTACATGACATCCATCTCCACAAATAAAAATAAATCCTTTTAAATTTATAAGTACATGGTAATATATGTTCAAATATTACTTTTAACTTTTTGACATTGAACACTCGTATCTTTTATATTTCTGATGCTCAAATCTAAGATCACAAAAAATAAAATAAATCATTTAACCACTGAAATTACTGAAATTTATGAAAATAAAATCTAAATATCTATTTATCTATCCTATTCAAAAGACATTTTTGGTATTTATATGCTTCGTCAGCTGCAGAGACAGCAGTGTAAATAACACAAACTTTATGGGCACTTTCATATCCTTCATTTTATAAAATCATTATCCCTCCCAGATTCTTAAATTCCCTTCTGAAGTTCTAATTCTTCTGAGCCGCTCAAAGCAAAAGCCCAACGAGGAAGAGGAAAGCAAAGGCTTCAATATTCTCTGCGTAGTAGTACGCCGGAAAAAAATGACGACTGGACTTGGAAAATGGAGCAAAATTCGACACATTGTGAGGCTCCAACAAATGATGCGGCGGTGGAGGAACAAGGCTCGCATGTCGGCCAGCCGAATCCCGTCCGATGTCCCGTCGGGACACGTGGCTGTCTGCGTGGGGACGAGTTGCAGGAGATTCGTTGTGCGCGCAACGTACCTGAACCATCCCATCTTTAAGAAACTCCTTACCCAAGCCGAGGAAGCGTACGGATTCAGTAACGGGGGCCCATTGGCGATCCCTTGCGACGAGAGCTTTTTCGAAGAAGTGATCCGGGTTATTTCCCGGTCGGAGTCGGGTCATTCCGCCAAGTTCCTCAACATTGAGGACTTTAAAGGCAACTGCCTCGTGGGGATGAAGAGTAAGCTTGATTTGTGGACCGAATCTCGACCGTTACTTCATGGGTTCTCTGAGAAAACAATATGGTAAATAAACAAACAGTTGAAAAAGAGAACAAGGAGAAGCTTTGATTCTCTTACCCGGGCTTTTACTCAGGTCCGAGTTAGCTCAACCGAGTATTTAATCATGACACACTGCTGAAACCATCGAGTAGGGGAAGTTTTACTAATTCATGGGTTTTTACTTACCGTTGGAAAAAAGGTAAGTTAGTTGGTTTTTACTTGTATTTTTTGTACTTTCCCGAAAATTGGGTGTGTAAAAGGCGTCGGCCAATGTATATTGAGCTCCGGTTATGGGGAGGATGCATGGAGATGGCAGAAAAGGCGGGTGAGTTATCCACCGAGTCGTCCCGGGTTCGAATAAGAGTAACGGGGAAAGGTAAAGGTGGAAGACTTTCTGACAATTAGAGTGATTGTTGTTAATTAAAACATCCCTGCTGTAAATTCTGTAATTTATGGATTGAAGGAGGACGAATTGTAGACACATTGGATCAATGATATTTAATCCCATTCTTAGACCGTCCATTTAATATATATATATATATATATATATATATATATATATTTGGATTTAAGTAATAAATGCAGTGGAGAATTACGAAGTACAGCATGCTAGACGATTTGGTTGTTATAATGGTACCCACGTGAAACGGTATCCCTTTCGATTACACTTGACAATTCAAGGATTTATTTTAATACTATTCTTAACCTGACTAGTTAATAACTTATATTAAATCAATGGCAAAATTATTTCATATACCACCAAACTTTAAGTCTTGACTGTTTATATCACTAAGATTTTAATTTTACTAATTTTAACACTAATGTTTAGTTTTATGTTTAATTATGTCACTTTGCCGTAATGATTTAACGGGATAATGACATGGCAATTGCGCACCATGACATTGCCGATGTGGTTGTCTCACCAAAATGACATCATTTTGATATGATTATTTTGATTCCCAAAAGGCCCAAAATATCGTTTTGTTGAGAAAAATATTAAATATTGTACTTAAAGGGATTTGAAGTCTAGACATATAAAAAAAGAGGTTAAAGTTTCACCAATACGCCAACGTTTTTGTTATATTTTTATAAAAATCTAAAATTTTAGATAAGATAATTCTAATATTTTAAATAACCTAAGGATTAAACCCAAATTTTCCTCTTATGTTTTTCTATTCTAACTATATTCTAACACTCACCATTCATGACTTCAACTATCCATTTCGCATCCATTTTCACAATCAGATTGGTCGCTCCCATGGATTTTGCTAGCAGGAGCCCCTGTCTAACTCCCCATAATTCCACCATGGTACTATCCTCTCTGGATTTTAAGCATGAAACCACCAACCCAGGTCCAGTTCCTTAATTAGACCTCCGGCAGTTGTTAATCCAGTACTTGACTTACACGCTGTGTCAGTATATAAAATCAAATAACCCTCTGGGGCTTCGTCCAGCTTACCCAAACCGGCTCTTAGGTGACTGGCCTATGTCTTGTCGCCATCGCAAACTTAGTTCTCTTGCCATATTTTTTTTTAATTTTATACTCGAAATATTTTTGGTGTATATATATATTTTTTGAAGCACTTAACCATTAACGTTTTATTTTGTTTCAAAATGATTTTTCCATGAGTAAAAAATCGTTAGTTAGCTAACAATTAACGTTTTCATATGACACGGTATAATAAGAAAACACCAAAAACATTCAAGATTCGAAGAAGAAAATAAACAAGGAAAACAAAAACGTTGTACAAGAGTAGAGAAAATATCCAAATCATTTTAATTGTCTAGCTAGAATGTGTATGATCAACTTATCAATTCCGGTTGAAAACTTTAGAACCTGAATCAATTAGTTTTAAATTGAATTTGATGTAAGCCAATATAAAATCCCAAAATATTTTTCTGATCCATATTTGAGGTCCGGACTTGAATACCAACTTCATTGCACAAGTCTTCCTGAAAGCCCAATATTGGATGCCCTTCAATAATACAAGGCCTAAAGTCATGCAATGGAAACCAAGGAGAACTGGGTTCTAGACTGGGGTCACCAGTGGTAGATTTTGGACAATATGGCACGTTTTCTATTTACAATATAATATTTTATAAGTAGCTTTGGACATGGTAATAGCAAGTGGCATATACTTTTTTATAAGTAAAAAAAAAAATCAACCTAAAATAATATTTACTGTTTAAGAGATATACAAGAACTTTAATCACAACTGTCGGTGGTTGGGAGAAAAATGCTTTGGGATAAAGATTTGGAATCTGATATTCTGCTGTATCATTACTCTTACGATCACTATTATTGTAGGACGTTCGACAAAAACCCACACCAAACCTGTATCTCTTTCGTACTATTATTTATAAGCTCATCCACTGCATGCAAGGACTTGAAGAAAATTATTGGAAAGCTGGTGAACCAAATAGGTAAACACCGTCAGAAAAGGGTGATGCCTTGTAGTGATGTTAGACGAACTCAAGATGGAAGCATGTGAATGGCGAACCAACCAAGATGAACGTGCACCTAAAAGTACCCTAAAGATTTGCATGACAAAGCCCACTAATTTATAATGCCTCCACATACAAAACAACAAACGAAATGGTTATAAGAATGAGGGCAATGGGACGAGCTTGGGTTCTTTCCGCCATCTGCAGTTCTGCATATATAAGACAGTATAAAAGTGCACCACCATTTGCTCCATCCAGCTCTTCTTTACTAGTTATGCTCAATTTGTTTTTTTTTCTTTTTTTTAATAATACGGAATTATTACATGTTAATATCTATTTAAAATATTTTTTAATCATTGACAATGTACATATACTCTATAGACACAAATGCTTAAATTTGGAATCTCTAAATAGAATAACATTATATTTTAGCTAATATTAATGGTGTAAAACAAGTTGAAGAATCTTTAGCAGTGCCCTATGGTCGCTGCAAGGGTTCTCTGTTAGATTACACATAATAAAAATGTTTTTAAATCTCATAATATTGAGTCCGTCGACAACCAAATCTCCAAAGTATGGAAATATATTTTAATAATGGATGTAGATTTTGTTCAACATCTGTTATCTTCATTGTATTTCTTCCCTGATTTGTCCTTTAGCAAGGATTAGTTTTACTATTATTTCATTAAAGGATGATTATGATCTTTGAAAGTGAATATCAATACGATGAGAATGAATTTTAAGTTTACTAATCAAAGAACTACATATATTTTTATTATTAATTTAAGATGATTACAAGTAGTATATGTTTTAAAAATTTTCAATTATTGATAATAACAACTTGAACACCTTTATAGTCAAATATTACATAAAGGGATATTTTATACTCAAATATTACGAAAGGGGTTATAAAGGGATCAATTTTTTCAATCAATCAACAACAATCATTCATCGATTAGAAGGAAAAGATTCAACTATTTTTAATCGAATCTTATACCGAGTTTAATTAACTTAAAAAACAGAAATAACGCAAAACAACATATATTAAATGTTCCTTATAACGAGGTTGCCTTTTTCAAGACATAGGTATAATAAAACAAACATTTTAAATTTCCACATCACTTTTTAACAATAATGACACATACTTTAATCAAAATTATACTTTTTGACAATATTTAAAAAAATACGTTTCAAAACAACAATAGAGAAGTAATTCTCTAAATACAAAGAGCGAAGAAGTAGACCTAAATTAATAGAAGACCCAGTCCAAAAGTGGATGTGGACATTTTGGACACACTTCTATGAACCAAAAAATTTTTACTTTGAAACCGACCCTCTACTACTACAAAGACACTGAAATCCATTCCAATGTCTATACTGTTTCCGTTTGTAATCAAACAGGCACCAGTTTGTCCATTCCAATGAGCATTTCTCGCAATTTTTTCATAAACTATGGGATCTCTTAACAATGATTCGAATGTTGAAGGGTAAATTAAAACAGTTAGTAATAGTTTAAAGAAAGCAATGATGATTCCCTCGAACACAGCAAAAGAAGCAGCGCCAAAAGTGATGGAAAACGAAAATCGATTTGGAGAAATACCAATGGAAAATGGACCGAATCCGAAGACAAAAGTGTGAAAACCTTTCTCTTTAGCCACTGCCACTGCTAATAAAAAAATGCAGAGGTGGGCTATAGCTGTCCTATGTGAGTACCCAACCCTAAGTCATATTATAATTATCCCATTTTTCGTACACACAAGCGAAGGCTTCAATATAATCATAACGCTACTTCCAGTGGTGTTTCTAATTAATTATATTTATATAATTGTATAAAATTATATGTTCTAAATGAATTAACATTTTATATAGCAACGTAGGATTTCATGTATAATTAATGAATGATTATTAATATTATCTTATCATTTTAAAATCTAGTTATTTTTATTGACATATTACTTTTAATTTATAATGTATAAAATTATACAACTTGAAAGTATCCAATATCCAACCTTCTTAAATTATCTCACCAATCTTTATTAAAAGAACAACCAAATATTATTTAATGTTGAGTTGATACAAGTACAACGAATTTTTAGTTGGCGTAAGACTGCCGCACGCCTTTTCACGTGACATGTTTTAGAGATATTGCATGTCCATGTGCACATCAATTAAAATGAAGATACGCTGTTACCTCGTGCTCTCTTTCATCCTCTTGGCTCTTACATTCTTAAGTTATAGACTAAATTATATTACTGGTCATTTTATTTAATTTCTTCTGTTTTTAATCCCTACTTTTTTAAAAATGATATTTTAATCATTTATGTTTCAATTATCATAAAATACTCACTCAAATTTAGCTCTTGTATATTGATGATGTGGTATGTTAACCAAAAAATGGTTAATTTTAAATTCATCCCTTAAATTTTAGAAAAATATAAATTTATTTTTTAATATTTTTAACTAATACTTAATTCCACCTCTTGTCTCTCCGGTCACCTTTTCCTATCAAAACCCAACACGAAGTGGGGGGTAAATCGTCCACTGTAACAACCAGGAAAAATTTAGAATAATATTAAATTGAAATTTGAGGTTAATTGTGAAAA